GGGCTACACAACAGCAGGCGTGAGTCGGGGTCGCATCGGGCCCTAGACCCTGGGTCCTGCACCCCGCGCACCGGGCCTTGGTGCCAGCCACAACAGCGACTGCTATGCCCGTGACGTTTAGTCACATCGTTTTTTGCGAGTATCATTAAAGACCTCGAGAATCAAATTGAAGTTCATGTACTCCGTAGTTATATATATTTCCTTTTTCTTTTATTGCACACATACCATAAACTTGCCATCTACGTAAGACAGGGAGGGTATGGACCCTAGAAATTGTAGACACTATGCCTGGGTTTGATTTTGAGCCCCTAGGCTAGAATGTAGCTATGATCTTTCTATACCCTTAACTACTAACTAAATTAAATCTGGTAGTATTTTTCAAACGATATAGATAGCACATTCGATCTAACATTTAAGGGGGAGGTTTCCGGTTGAACCCCGTTTAGAGTATCATCAGCGAGCCACCCATGGATAGATAGCTGAAGGCATATATGGACTGTATGGGTTGTCCAACAACAGAGAAAGGAAATATGCTAACTTACTTGATTGGATTATAATAATACTTGGACCTGAACTTATTTACACAGTACAGGGCAGTTTACGAATACGAAATCCTACGGGAGATTGCCGCAACTATTCTGTATTTTGTATGCCAACATAAACTTCAAAACTGTCGAACAAAAGATACAACATCATCTCCCTAGGCCACAGCAGCCGATAGATGACACGGAGGGGGAAGGGGAGCAAAGCAAAAGAAAAAACGCTAGCAACCATAAACGTCTTCACTAATATACACCATGAAGACCAAAGTGCAAATCTAGCTAGGTCAATAGGTATTGACATAGGCGAGTAGTACTTAGGTTCAGGTCGAAAAGAGAAAATAACGGGCTAATGAAGATAAAATGACCCCTCTATGAAAGATGAGTGGAAAGCAAAGATAGCAATGGACATGCAAATGATAAGGGGCAAAATGGATGAATGCTCGTGCGTGCGGATGCGTCGTAGATGGATGTAACTCAGAAAAAAGGAAGAAAAACCGCCAACTGTGTATCGCAAAGACAAGGGAAGAGATCTTGTCATAGAATGTGCTCCTTGGCCAATTATTTTATGTCAATGAGACAGGTCACAGTTTCAATGCATCGAGGATCTTCTTCGCCATCTCTCGATACTGCCACATGCCACCTGATACCTTCTTGAATTGAATACCATGTAGGGAGAACAAGGGCACCTTCACGATCAGGATTTCGAAGCGGAGGACAAGGTTCTCTCCAGTGTCGCTCTGTACACGGGTAGTGGTTTCACCAACGACACGTTCGCCGACCGGACCACCCTGTTCCCGTGCAACATATTCATCCGAGCCGTCCGAGTTCGTGGTGAAACTGTGATCCGGCGCAGCTTGGGCTCGACGAAGTTTGGAGGACCCAGTGCGGCTGTCGTGTGGGGTTTCATCATGGTTGAGAAGGCCGCCAAAGCTGATACGACGGCGATGCCCTGATACTTGCCCCTGTCGTTCTGGACTGGGAGGGGCAACATCAACGACCTTGTCGAGATCGATGCTGGGGGCGTGGCGGCAGCTAAACCCACCCTTGATCTCGACATACTCAACCGCAAGCTGCCTCAAGACCCGAATAATGTCGGCCCGAATGACGGGCAAAGGTTTGCTGCTGGTGGTAGAAACACTGAAAAGACCCTTGAGGAACACTGGTTTGGACAGATCTTCTCCCTCGTTAGCGCTCTCCAATGCTGTCCCTGCGCCGGAGATGTCTGCATCTGTCTCTTCGGGTACGTTGGCCTCTCGGGTAGCCTCTCGCCGGGCCCGGCGGGCCTGAATACTTTCCCGCCGGGCGTGTCCCAGCGACATGGTACGCGCCGCGTGCGTGCGTCCACCAACCCTCACGCTGGTCGGATCTTGCTGATTATTCGGAACAACGTGATCAGAGTCACTGGTAGAGGGCGGTTGACGGTCTGCAGTAACGTCCAAGGCATCTGCATCACTTTTCCATGCGGCTCTCCGAGTTCGGTAGTCTGCCGAATTGACACTGGTAGACCTTTCCAGGAATTTGTTGGACCGCGCATTGCGTTCCGATGATCTTGGCGCCGCTAGAAGATCCTGTTGAGGTCGGCTGTCATTCGAAGACGTCTCGCCTGCAGATGGCTCCGCTCGTCGGGTTCTCCTTACACTGAAGCCACGGTTCATCGGAGATGCTGAATCTGCAGGAGGTTGAACGTTGAGTGTGGGTGTGTTGGGGGTATTGACGCGTTCACGATCCACATCGCGGCTACGATCCTTGGTCCTGCGAGTGCTGAATCTTCTCAAGATTCCAGCAGCAGTGCTCTCTTTCTTGGCGGGGGCGTCGGGCTGCGAGATTGGGACTGCGTGCGTAGATGGCGAGGAAGGATGAAGTATCTTGATTCCTTCTGAGGCTTCGTCCTCACCATGAGTGCGGGCGCGTGGCCGAGACCGTCGCCCAGTATCCTTGTCTCCCGCCAACTGGTACTGATTGGTGTGGGCGGCTTCCGGGGGCCGCAGCTCAGGCACATGGACTTCACTGGTTTGACGAAGACCAAGGGCACCAGGACGTGCTTCGACCCGCTCTCTGTCAATCTTTTCTTTGACTAGATGGTATGTGGAGACCAACGGACTGTACGCATTCAAAGGGTCGTTGCCTAGTTGCACCGCCTCGGCTGAAGGTGCGGAAAGGGTATCACGACTGGCCGCAGAGTTTCGTCGTTTGTAGAAATCGAACACTCCTCGTTTGCGCTCCGGGTGACTGGAAACAGGTTGTTGTTGTTGTTCGCGGAAGTACAGCCGGAGGGCACGTTGGTAATCTTCGGACTCCAATACTTTAGTCAACTGAGCCGTGATGTATTCCGGAGGCCCGAAGTCAAAGCCGGTCATCTTTTCAACGACCTCTTGATCCAGAGGTAGCTGCAAAGGCTCACGATGAGGGAGGTGATTCTCTGGAGGGTTACTAAAGCCCTTATTCATCCAGGGATGGCTCATGATCTCGGACAAGCTGGCACGCTGCTTGGGGTCAGTGACCAGCATGCGGGATATAATGTGGCGACACTCTGCGAAGCCTAATCAGCAATGCAATCAGAGAAAGCATCCTTCCAATGTTGACTTACCGGCAGTGAGACCTGGCGGGTACTCCACCACACCTTTCTTGATTTTGGCATGCAGCTGAGGCATACTCTGATCATCGAAAGGTACCTTTCCACAAACCAAGACATAAAGGACAATCCCAAAGCTCCAAACATCAACTTCGGGTCCCGTATATTGCCTGGCCTGGAGCAACTCCGGAGCAGCGAAATACAGGCTACCGCAGAATGTCTTCAACAAACCTCTTGGGGAGAACAAGTTGCTGAGACCAAAATCAATGATTTTGATATCACCAGTCTTACTGATGAGGATGTTCTCAATTTTCAGATCGCGATGTACGATGCTGTTGCGGTGGGAGTAATCCAATGCGCTGGCGATCTGTCGTGCGAACTTGCGCGCCTGTTTTTCCTTCAGTTTGCCATGGGAGATGATATAATCCAGCATTTGGCCACCGTTGACATATTCAAACAGCATGTACCAATGGTATGATGTTCGAACAACGTCCCGCATGCCGCAGATATACGGATGGTTCACCAGGCTGACGATGGCCGCTTCTCGAGCTGTCCGAATCTCCTTTGAGCGATCAGCTCTCTCTGTCTCCCGGGTGGTGCGATGTTCCTCGGTCGAGAGTCGTGGCACGATTTTAACGGCAACCTGCAACCGTAGTTAGTATTGTGCTGATAATTCGAAGACAAGGATTCGACTATTCCTACCTGTTCTCCAGTCTCCATATTTTTCGCCAGTTTTACTTTTCCCATACTTCCAGCACCTATTGTTTTGCCTAGAGCCCACTGACCCGTCGGCGTCGTGATCGTAGTCCGTCGCCGAGGCGCGGCTGCGGCTGCGGCTGCGGGGGCACTTGTTGCGGTCGCATGTTGCGGTGGCAGTTGTGAAGCCGAGCCCGGTGTCATATCAACACTGTCTCGCTGACGGCTCTGCGTTGAGGGATTTCTTTGATGCCTCCGGCCAGTTTCATTTCGAGCGGTCGAGGGGCGTTCCTGAGATCGGTCCGATGACGTTTCTCGACGAGGCATGCGCGCGACATTGGATGCGTCGAATTCGCGCCGGGCTGCACCATCAAGTGCAGTGTGGTTTGAGGGAGGACGTCGGTCCTGGGAAGGAGTCTTCGAATGTGATAGGTTCGTTGGCGTAGGAGGCTGGGTCGTATTTGACGATCGAACCGCTACACTGCGTGTCCGATGCGGGAGATCCGATGGGACTCGAGAGGGACGAGATGTAGTTGAGTGGCTGCGGACCACAGTGGATGTTTTAGTTGTCGGTAACGACATCGTGGATGGTTCTCCTTGAGGGGTTTGGAGCGGTCAAAGGAATGAGCGGGGGAAGAGATGAGGGAAGCCGCAGCCACGGCTGGGCCCCGAGCACGGTTGATGCGGTATGAGGATTGTCTCACGGGATGAAACAAATCCCGTAATGCGGATGCGATGGAATATGATGATACTAGAAGGACAAAGATGGAAGAGGGGGTTAAGGGTAAGAGGAGGTTGGGATGCGGAGATCGTCTAGGGGCGACAACTTCTAAGGTTCCAAGGTTGCAAGCTCTCGAGTTGATACCCAAATTCTGTTTGAGGCTGGGTTTCACCCCCGAATACGCCCCCTTTTTTTGCAGAAATTCTTTTAATTCTGTTTTAGTTCTTTTAGGTCATTGATTTATTTATTTATTAAGGGAATACTATTGGCATGCATACAATACTGTGACCACGTCAGCACCTGCCTACACCTGGGCATGGCGAACTATGTCGGTCTTTAGCCACGGTCACGTGGGCCGAGGTTCTATAAATATCCGGGAGGTAAGGATAGTATTCAACATGATAAATCTGGCATTTATAGAATGTGATTTCCATAAAGAAGTGCACAGTTGACGTGAGAAGTGGGAAAATTACCACTTCTGTGGTCCGAAAGTCTCTCCATCTGCGACAGTCTTTCGAACTGTAGTATAAAGATAGTCCTATGTTCCTCATTAGGCCCACAAGAATAAATGTCAGGATATAGTTACGTACCATGGTCTCGTTTGGAGCTGTATTTCCCCACCACTGAGGTATCGAGACATTCGGCAGAATAATGGCGAAGAAAATAACAATGGTGGACAGAATGAGGCCTGAATCAAGCCCTGCAGCGGTGATGTAGTTGTAAGTATGCCACCAGCCACCCCACCGGCGTCGAATCCAGTAGTTGAAAATGAGACCAAAGCTAACCCACGAAAAGAAACTCAAAGGAGTGGCCCTATAAAATGATTAGCATCTCGTAACCGTGAATAATAGCGCCGGGAATGTTGTAGACCTACGGAGGCAACCAGGCCATAGCACCTAGCATCCTGTTGATAATATTAGCATATTCCATCAAAGATGATATTCTGTGACTTACACAGGTGCATTTAGGAACCTGAGCTTAGACCGAGGGAATACTCGTATTAAGACATAGAATACCACCGGAAGAAGAGCGCCGATCAGCCAGAACCATTGTATTTGAGCGTACATGGCGCCGGGTCCAAACATGCGCTGTGGGCCAATAACACCTAAATAAATAGTTAGTACGGAGTTATATACTAGGATATATCTGAGACATAGCAAACTGACCCCACACGATGCTGGATGAAAAGAATGCTCTTCCGTTTGGGCATGTAAAATTCCCTGACTGAGTACTGTTCCCAGAGATCGTTAATAATATGTTCTCTTTCCAGATGTATGCATAACATACGGCGTGCAAACTTCATCGATATTGCCTAGAGTCCAATTCATGACTGTAATCTGAACGATACTTGCCCATATTGTGGCAACAACTTGACACATGAAGGTGACGCGGGGTGGCACTTTCATATAATGGGCCAGCTGTTGTTGAAGAAGAGTCAACAATCCGATCCACTGATATGGGGAGGAAGTTACTTACTTTGAGATCCGCACAGTATACTTGACTATTGATACGGTCAGCCTTCATTCTGGAAAGAGAGCATTAATTCTTACGCTTGTCCCAAGGTGATGGTGCTGAAGACCTTGAATACCATGACCCCAATTGGCTTTCCTGGGATCATAAAACCTGCTAAGAACGGCGATAGGACATTGAGCGCTACATTATTTAGCATTGCACACACACACACACACACACACACACACACAAGAGGCGCAAGACCGCACGTACACAGCGTAATATTAGTGATTCCGAGAATCATGCAAGTCGGGATCTGTTGTTTGGGTTAGAAATAATCTCCCAGTGATCATAACACAACATACTATAAAGACCACGGCGAGGATGATCGAGACAAAAAAGGCCCACCCTATGTATTTTGTCAGATTTGAGCATCAGACCCAAAGAGGCATCACATACAAGGAAGCTGCGAATCATATGCTAGAATTCCTGCAAGCCCTAACGCGATCGAGAATAGGAATAGTGCCGCATACCACCAGTCAGGTGCTTCCCTGTACTTCTTCATCATGGTAAGATGAATATCAGGTTCTTGTTCCCGAGCAGCCCTAAATTGATGCCAGATCTGCTTTCGATGGAAGAGAATAACATGTACAATAGCTGCTGTAAGGGCTGCAAACGACAGTCCATAGTTCAAGGCAAAGGTTGGAGCCAGGAACATCGGTGAGTATGCCTTGTATTTTTCCTCGTCAAAAGAAAAACCAGAACCTAATATTTTGGTTACATTGTAGGCATTTTGCGTGTTATCATAGGTGCTGGATGTGTTGATCGGGAGATAGGCGGAGTATCTATATTGCTGTCAGCTTTGAAATAGTCTGGTGAGATATTGCAGCATACAAAGCCCCAGAGTAAGAGATCCCGATTGTGGTGATGATCACGAACACCATGAGCCCAATGAAGGTGTTGACAAGGGCATGGACGGGTGCCAAGAGTGGATCTCCGAGATATGCGGAGACGTAGCTGGTTATAATTAGCTTTACATCATCAACGCGGTTCTGCGAGTGACGGGGACTATAGATCTTACGTCCAATCAAATGTGATAGGAACGAGGGAGAGTCCTGTGAAGCCTCCGAACAGCTGGTTCAAAACCACATTGTTGGGTCGAATCCCTACAGGAGAAAGGAGTCAGCGCAAGTCAGGAATGAAACAAATCAACGGGACCTTACAGGTGACAAAAGCAAAAACAGAGAGTCCTTGCCATAGGACCCCCGGTATCCTGCAGTTCGAAGAAATTAGCACATGTAGTTCGGATTGGAATAGGAGAGCCTTACCAATACCAGACGAAAGCCCCAATTGTCACATATAAAAAATATCTGTAGCGTGAGATGCTCCATCCGTGGGTCTCTGATTCATCCGAGGAGCTCCAGTCGTGAAGGGCATAAAACAAGGAAGTATTCGCAAATTGACTAGGCCAAATCAGAGCAGCGGGCCTTGACATTATGAGTATTGGCAATATTATGAGTATTGGCAATATTGGGAGAGAAGGTCCCAACCTACCAGACGAGGAACCGGCGGAAAATGCCAGCTAGTGACATACCAACAACCTGACTGCTCAAAGCGAATAAAAGTTGGAATCCCCATCCAAGTTCCATATTATAAAGTGCTGAGAGTGTATGTTAGACCAATATTGATTTAACGCCAGATATATTGCTCACGCTTTGCTTTCAATGCCAAGAGAGCATCCGTACAATAAGCATATCCGATCGACACACTATACATTGCTTAGCCTTGATGTCAAACCTTAGATGTGATCAAGATCCACCCACTTTGCCATGATCTGGAAACAAAAGGTCAGCTTTATTTAATTTTGAGAGTCAACTTTCAAGAGCTTACTGTGATAACTGCATGCTCTTTGATGGTGAAAGGACCGGTATTCAACGTCCATTCCACTCCAAATGTATTGAACTTCCGAGTCGGCATTGTCTTGGCCCACAAACAACCCATCGGATAGACCAGCAACTGCACGACGATGGCGGGGAACGAGATGGCAGGACTCCTAATGCAATATGAGCAAACAATTTCCTACTCGAAGGCTGCATCGGAATCAAAGCCCACCTCATGCTCAGGAACATGTTAAGTCCACTTCCAAGAGTAGTGAAAAACATGCCCAGCACCCAGGCGCGTACGGTGTTTGCAACTTCTCCGCCATCTGTGTTACGCACCGCAGCACGAACAGACTCATATTGGGACTCCTGAGCGAGAGTCTTTTCCAACTCGGCAGCCTTTTCCTGATCACCAGTCTTGACTGCCTCGTTAATGGCATCGATCTTCTCCTGTGGCAAATTTGGATCCCACTGGTGGGAGAGTTGAACCTTGTGTAACTCTTGGATCGTGTCGCTTACTGACTTGCCATTATCGTTTGGCATGTCGAGCTGGGATGGGTCAAGGCCGTCTGTGACAGGCAGGTGTGAAGCCATTCTGCAGCAATAGGGTAGCAGGTGACCTGGTTAGAATTTCACCGAACAGTCGACTTAGAATTAAAAGCTTCTGTATTCATTCAGGACTTATAATGGACTTATATTTCTGGCAGATAGGAAGAAATAAAGCAAGAAAGAGAAAGAGGGATTAAGAGATTCAAGGGGGCTACCTATCATAGAAAACAGCCAAGAGGCCTGTTAACTGTATACGGCGTTCAATTGAGCTTGAATTGCCTTATCTAGACTTGGCAATGGCTACATATACCACCTATGTAGGTTTGTATGTAGAAGTTCAACCTGGGCCGCTCCCCTTGCCAGTCTAGTCCTTAGAAGAATAAGTTCTCTAAACACAATGTAGCATTTGATTCATTTCCCCGCATTTTAGTATTACTCCTATCCCCTTGGACCGCGGACTCTAGATTATCATCCCGTCGAGATAACAAAGTACTGCTTTAGGTATAAACGCGGAGAAAGACCACGCAACTTTATAAGCTAAGGTTACTCCGCGCGATATGACCGAAAATCAACCATTCGGACCAGCCAGCGATATAAGGTATACTGTCGGATAAACCACCCGATGTAGTATTGTAGGATTTATTAAGTTTAATTCAAATGCATCGCTAAGATAGTATAGGTTCTACTTTAGCCGGAAGCCTGTACTTTTCTTTTTCAATCTGACGAACCTACGAAAGCGCTTCTTTTGATTTCCTGCCCCAAAGACTCAACTTCGAAAGAAAATAATCTTAAAAATAAGCAAACTCATATATTTCCGAACAAAACAGAGTGATAGCCGGATTTGGCCTGTCATGGTATCTGTTACTTCACCTAGGGGCATCGCCATCCAGCGCGCCCAAGCCGACACTATGCGCGACAGGATTGAGCGCATCACTGAGGATCTCAAAGATATCAAGGAATTTTTCCCCATCAGAATATCTCCCAGAAGAACAAAGAAGTTACGCGAGTTCCTTACATCTGAGCTCGACTCACTCCGCAGCCAGCCCTTTGATCTTTATGATCAACAAGGGAAGGTAGATTATCTTCTGATAAAAGGCTACCTACAAAGACAGCTGCGAGAGTTGGAACTCAACTCTAAACAAGATGAAAAGACCGCACCACTTTTACCGTTTTCAGACACACTGCTGGAGCTGTGTGAGGCCCGTGCCAGGGTAGTGTCGATGAATTCAAAAGACGCTGCCCAGAAGCTTGTTGAATCCCAGTCTCAAATCGCAGCCGTGATAGACATGGTCGAGAACCACTCGACCAAGATCCGGATGGAGAAAGCAGTTGCATTTAGAGCGGCGAGAAATATAGACTCATTGCACACCAACCTGAAGGAATGGTTCGAATTCTACAAAGGCTACGATCCGTCGTTCAACTGGTGGGTGTCACATCCATATGGAGTTGTGGAAAAGGGCCTGAAAGATGTTTCAGCAAGTATCCGAGAGAACTTGGCTGGCATTCGCCCAGGTAACGAAGATGCGATAGTGGGTGATCCTATCGGTCGAGAGGGTTTACTTAGTGAACTCTTGGGTGAAATGATTGCCTACACACCGGATGAATTAATCTCGATCGGAGAGACGGAGTTCAAATGGTGTGTTGGTGAAATGATAAAGGCATCACGCAGCATGGGGTTCGGGGATAACTGGAAGCAGGCGCTGGAAGAAGTCAAGAATGACTTTGTCGAGCCTGGAAAACAAACCGAATTAGTGCGAGATCTCACGATGGAGGCAATCTCCTTTGTCGAAGATCATCAACTCGTCACCGTTCCACCGGTTGCCAAGGAGAACTGGCAGATGTTTATGATGTCCCCCGAGCGCCAGAAAGTAAACCCTTTCTTCCTCGGAGGTGACTGTATCATTGTCGCATACCCAACCGATCAGATGGACCATGAATCCAAGCTGATGGGGATGCGCGGGAACAACATCCATTTCTCCCGCGCTACGGTCTTCCATGAGATGATATCTGGCCACCATTTGCAGATGCACATGATTGCACGATATAAACCCTACCGCCAGCTATTTGACACCCCGTTTTGGATTGAAGGATGGGCTCTGTATTGGGAGTTTATTTTGTGGAATGACGAGCGGTTCGAAAAGACGCCGCAGAACCGGATCGGGATGCTGTTTTGGCGACTTCATCGATGTGCCCGAATTATATTCTCCATTAAGTTCCATCTTGGACAGATGGCTCCTCAGGAATGCATTGATCTACTCGTTGACCAAGTCGGACACGAACGTGCCACTGCAGAAGGAGAAGTGAGACGATCATTGAATGGCGATTATTCGCCGTTATATCAAGCCGGGTATATGCTGGGTGCGTTGCAAATATATGCACTGCGGAAGGAGATTGTCGAGACGGGGCTCCTTGCTGAGAAGGAATTCAATGACCGGTTTTTGAAGGGGAATTGTATGCCAATCGAGTTGGCGCGGGCCTTGATGCAAGATCAAACGTTATCGCGTGAGCACCAGCCGTCTTGGAAATTCTATTCCTTATAAGATCTTGACCAAGGCACGAAATACCTATATGAATTGCTTGTCTCACGGCTTTGGGGGGCTGACCCTTGAATGCCAGCATGCTATTGATTTTCTGGCAAAATCTTAATGGGTCTCTACTAGGATCGATTGGAACTAGTAATCCTTGGAAATAAATACGAATGAATGAATGTTTTTTCATTCTCATTCTCATTGGCGGATTCAGATACCGGGGACTCTGACTTGCTGAACTGCTGCACTTCCAAGGGTAGTCGAGACGAGACCTTGTTTGGGAGCGCATATGGGATCTTCAGATCAACTACGTCATAGGCCCATACAAAAAGCTCGGCGCTAGTCATGACCTACATACTAGATTGGACTGTACGGAGTACAGCATACAGTTACAGTGTGCGCATCAGAATCAGTGTCCAACCACGCAGTCATATAGCCACATCTGGATAATATATCATTGTAGCTTTATTAATGGAAGGTTTACTTTTTAAGCCGAGGTCTTTCAATGACTCTAATTGCCGAATAAAGAAGTATAATATTAGCTTTAATTTGCCTTGATTGTAAGTCAGGTGTGCACTAAACGATTCTCCATAGGACCACTACCTACTATGACAGCATACTAATATTGCATCCATGGAGTACTGACCAACTATTCTGTAGCTGCGTTGTTGGTGTCCATACGTCATGCAACCAGGTTGGTGGGTCCGGAAACAGTCCGGGGATATGTGGAATTGCCTCCGATGTTTGAAGAACGGGCTATGGAAGAAAATGGAGTGCCCGAGTTAACTGGAATGTTCAAGTTAGCTACATCTATCAGAGCCATAGATCTTGTTCACGCGTGCAGTGCAAGTGTTGTAGATCTAAATCTGTATTCCTAATGCATAATAACTAGTGATGTCAGAAATAGTAGAACTAGTAGAAAGCGTAAACTGTGGATCAACCTGGGGTTACAGCCACCAAGCTTCCAAGATTTTATGCCTTGGCAAATTTGGCGCTGCAACGAGTTGTATATGACCTGTGAGGTTGGAAACTGGGCGGCGAGGTACTGGCCCTTTCATAAATGACGTCATGACATCATTGCCCTTACCCCAGAACCAGAACCAGAACCAGAACCAGAACCAGAACAATATAAATATCCCTTCAACTTCCGCAGATGTTCAATTATTCTTCTACACAACTCATCACCTATAATCTCAATCAGCCCTTTCAAATAAATCACCCAAACAAACCACATTTTCCTACTTCCAAATTCAAAATGGAGAGCATCAAGGTATGTTTTCAGCCTCAGTGTCTTGGTACTTGCCTTATCATTGACTAACCTAAAATTATAGCAAGCCGCCAACTACGTCTCTGAGACCGTCCAGGGCACTGGAGCTGAGGCTTCCAAGGAGGCCAACAAGGGCGTCGCTAAGAACAGCGATGCCAACGTCTCCACCCGCGCCAGCGCTGCTAAGGACGCACTCTCCGACAAGAAGGACGAGTTTGCCCACAACACCAAGGCCGATGTCAACAAGGGTAAGCTGAAACCATTGAACAAAGCTGGTTAAAGAATAGTACTAACAACGTTGCAGAGGCTGCCAAGAACTAAAGTGCCAATACTCTTATCAACCACTTGTTCTATACACCACACCATCTAGGCGGTACCCCTGTCTTTTGATGATATCACGATGTAATAGCGAATAATACCATCTATAATTCACAACGTTGATAAACAAACTTGCACAAATGGATGCACTTTTAGCATAAAATTCTAAAGCATACTAGACATACCATTCAGAAGGTAGACAGAAGAAGCCATTGACATGAGATGCTGCATAAGCCTGCGAAGTAAATGCCAAAAAGTTACATTTCGCACCTTCTAAAGCTTGCCAATTATTAGCACAATCTGTCGAGTTGATCCACCAGCTGTGTTTTGCTCCATGGCATCTTGTGGAAACACGAAACACGGATTTAGGATACGTGTTTTCACACGTTTCAACCGAGACTAGATATAACCAGCCTTTTCACCGGAGTGCAATGATCTTACGCGTAGACATCGCCTATGTGTCATTTTTTGAGTCACTTCTTGGGGTTCTTCAGTTGGAACTACTCGCTTAAAGATCAATTATATGGCGAGATGCACACACAATTCTTCTTTGACTGCGCTGCATTAAATTAAGGGATATGTTTTAGCGTTGGGTTGGAATAGAAGAGAATATTCTTTTTCAAATACATTACTAGGCAGGAAATATGATTGAGGTCAAAAAATGTCGTTCGAAGATATTCCTCAATCCGTACCCGACCTACGTGTCTAGGCCCTCGATCCCAACCCCGCCAAGGAACGGGAATGGGCGAGACCTACGGAGTACTCTTACTCAACATATTCTCCACTTCTAGTACCAACAGACTACCGGCTGAAGAGGGGCGGAACACGCGGTGGTGCATCGAGCATCGGCCATGGCACGGTCCAGTATTATGGGGTGGTCGGTGCGGCTGAACCCATTCTTAGGGCGGGATGCATGAATCAGAATTGGGACGTCTAGCTTCTTACTAGTCTTGTGATAAGGGACTTCATCCCTGTAATCCACCCTTGAGCGTGCGCTGGCAGAACGTCGTTGTGGTATGAAGCTCTGCGATCCTTGCTCACTCCGCTCAGCTGCTCTTGTCAGGATAACGAGATCCAGGCCTCTAACAAGTAATTGGCTCAAAATGTGAAGCAAGCAAATTTGACTTGAGCTCATGACCATCTGCCAAGAAGAAGAGGTTATCTTTTCCTAGTCCTAGGTTATTCTAAAATTGTCATATGACTGAAATGACTGAATATATAACCGGACACCCATTCCTCTATAGATTAAATCTCTCAGACTCTTGCATCCAATCTAAGCCCAACAACAAGAAACCTAATTCCTAAGGCCCAGAGTATGTTTACGGCTCTCTTACTACATGTTCTAGGTAAATATCCTACGTAAAAATATAGCTAATGTTATATCTCTAGGGCTACTCACCTACCAACACGATGTGTTATAACATGATAACATATAGCTGCGGCCACACCCTCAAATCCCAGTCGACCACCTGCACAGGTGACGAACGGGGCCCGGATATGACCTCAAGCTTCAAGTGTAAAACATCATGCACGGGGTCTTAGAACTGGTCACCATTCTTGGCCGCGCGGGAGCCTCGTGGCCATCGCCACAGTCTGGAGTGATGAGGGGTCGAGGAATGGGAATTGATTTCTAAGGGTAGAGTTTCATATATGATCAAACTTTCGGAAATATGTATCTTCGTTTCTGGTAACTAGTGTAGCTCTTACAACCTTGGAATGTTCATGAGGTTAGTAATGGGGAGGAATCGAGTCAAGGGCGGATGTATTCAGGCATCAATGATTGCCTCAGGCAACAAACCAAAGACAAACCTCAAAAGGGTGGCACAACGTACCTACATTGCCCAGGTGTACTCGTACTCCGCTCCATACTCCGTACCTACATGAGTCCATGTCTTATGTAGTACCCTTGGACCCAACAATTGCAATGTTCTAGACTATTTCTACTTTGGGCAATTGATTGGTGTGCCACTTGAAATAAGCTGGTGGACTACCAATAATATGATAGTGGATGGGGTCAGTGAACAGGTTGAAACGTGTCAGGGGCCTATGAACGGCAGTTGATACGCAAAATCTGATCTCCAGGTGGGAATTACATTGATTGTACTCCGTACTCGAAGAGACTTTCATAAGGAAAAGTGGCACTGGTGGCTCTTGTGGCTCCTTATTCCAACGGCGGAGATCAGCGTACGCTAAAGTCAGGGCCAAGAGTCCAATAACTCCATTACTCCATTGACCAAATTCTAATAATAACCCAATTCACCCAGAGTCCACACCTTTTTTTTCTTTCTTTCATGCTCATTATCTTTTGTCTCACCTCTAGTTTCTCCCATCTTTTTAGAATTTCCCCTCGTTTGAAATTTACTCACCCTTTCACCTTCATGCTGGGTTCTTGATTTCCCTCCCGGCCACTTGTTAATGCCGGATCGTCAATCGTTTTTTGCTTTGACTTTGACGTAATGGATCTACATCATTTAAGCTTGCATGCTCGCGCGGATGGGACGGATACTTTCCTTGAGCTTATTGCGAATCCATTTCGCTCTGCAGTAAGTTGAAATTGTTCTCGGGAAAAGTAAACACAGTAAACACCATGCTGACAAGCTACAGTTTACAGTTACTGCTATTTGGGCCTCGCTAGGCACCTCGATCGGCGTCACTATCCTCCTCGCCCTCCTCTTCTCTCTTGTTCGACCCCGTCACTCGCTCGTCTATGCGCCCAAAGTCAAACATGCAGATCTCAAACACACTCCGCCTCCGGTGGGCAAGGGCTTCTTCGCTTGGGTCAAACCGGTCATCCATACACGGGAATCGCAGCTGATTGAGACTGTCGGCTTGGACGCCGCAATCTTCCTCCGATTTACCAAAATGTGCCGGAACATCTTCATCTTTCTCAGCGTAATTGGCTGCCTGGTTATGATACCAGTCAATGTCACACAGAACAAGGGTACTACCGACTCATCGGCGTCTTCCGCCTTCAATCTGATGACACCCCTCAACATCACCAACCCCACGGCTATTTGGAGCCAGGTGGTATGCGCCTGGGCTTTTGATCTCATTGTGGTTTTCTTTTTGTGGAGGAACTATCGCGCTGTACGGAATCTGCGGAGGCAATATTTCCAAAGCTCTGAATATCAGCGCAGTTTACATGCCAGGACCTTGATGGTCACGGACATCCCTCCAAATAGTCGTACCGACGAAGGTATCCTGAAGCTGACCGACAAGGTTAATCCAACCGCGGCCCTTCCACGAGCTGCGATTGGTCGTAATGTCAGGGATTTACCCCGGATCATCAAAGAACATGAAGAGGTTGTCCGGGAACTCGAGTCCGTTTTGGCAAAATACCTTAAGAACCCGGACCGATTGCCTGCGAAAAGACCGACTCTACGTCCCCCTCGCCGACAACGCAACCAATTCCCCGACGGCAAAGTGGACGCGATTGATTATCTATCCGTCCGGATTCGTGTCTTGGAAGAGGAAATCAAGCATGGACGCGCGTCGATTGATCGCCGAAACGCCATGCCCTACGGCTTTGCAAGCTGGGACAATATCGAGCACGCTCATGCTGTGGCATGGAACGCTCGCCGCAAGCGCCCCGAGGGCACCACTATTGCTCTTGCGCCGCGACCCAGCGATATCATCTGGGAAAACCTACCGCTTACAAAATCGGCACGCAAATGGAAGCGACTGGTCAATTTCATCTGGGTGACATGCTTGACCGTCGTGTGGATTGTTCCCAACGGTCTGATTGCGATTTTCTTGTCCAACCTGTCAAATCTGGGTTCGGTATGGCCGGCGTTCCAGACCTCGCTGGCAGGGAACCCAAACGTTTGGGCTGCTGTCCAGGGTATTGCGTCGCCTGCACTGACTTCGCTCGTCTACCTCGCGCTTCCGGTCATCTTCCGTCGACTTTCCATCCAAGGTGGTAGCAAGACTAAAACATCCCGAGAGCGCCACGTGCTGGGGCATCTGTATGCGTTTTTCGTTTTCAACAATCTGATCGTCTTTTCGCTCTTCTCGGCGGCTTGGTACTTCGTGTCGTTCGTGGTTGACAAAACACAAAATCACGAAGACGCTTGGCAAGCCATCTTGGAAAGCCGGATGTATGCCAAGTTGGTAAGCGCTCTATGCACCGTGTCACCGTTCTGGGTGACGTATCTTTTGCAGCGCAATCTCGGCGCTGCTATCGATCTTGTGCAGCTGGTTACCATGGCTTGGGTCTGGTTCGCCAAGACGTTCCTATCACCCACACCCCGACAGGCAATTGAGTGGACCGCACCGCCACCGTTCGATTATGCCAGTTACTACAACTACTTCCTCTTCTATGCCACCGTGGCTTTCTGTTTCGCTACCTTGCAACCCATTGTACTACCGGTGACGGCCTTGTATTTTGGTATTGATGCCATGTTGAAGAAGTATCTATTGATGTACGTGTTTGTGACTAAGAATGAGTCTGGCGGTGCATTCTGGCGTGTTCTATTCAATCGCCTGATCTTCGCTACTATCCTTGCCAACGTGATCATCGCTCTTGTTGCCAAATCGAGCGGCACATGGAACATGGTGTTCTGCGTGGTCCCCTTGCCTTTCTTGATGATTGGGTTCAAGATCTATTGCATGAAGACATTTGACTCCGATTGCGAGTTCTACAATCGTGCAAGCCTAAGCGATGCTGAGGCCTTAGGCGCGAGATCTTCCGACAAGAAGGCATCAGACCGTCTAAACACCAAGTTCGGACACCCTGCCCTATACAAGCCACTTTTGACCCCTATGGTGCACGCCAAGGCAGCCGCGGCACTAAAGGAAATCTACCAGGGTCGTCTGGACCAGGCCGACACGGGCGGCGAGTACTCAGACATTGCGATGAACCCGATGCTTGCATCGCAGCCCGGCAAGTCTTCCGAACCAGCGCCATTCGAGGTCGTCCCGGAGAACCATCTAGACTTCTCGTACTACAAGGATCGAGCAGACTTCCGAGACGAGTTCGGAGGCGGCATCTACGGCCGACCCGAGGATCTGATGACAGAGCGCTCGCACACACCCCGCAGTACTCTGAGAGGCGAGTGGTCCCCCGGCTCATCGCGTGCGTCATCACCGGCACCCTCTTTACCATCAATCCCACCGCTACATACGCACAATGGTTATGAACACTCCGATCCGACCGGACTGGTCCACCCGGCCTTCCGTGTGCCGCTATCGCGGGGCGACAGTGGCACGGGAGTATCCTCAAACACAGACGAGGCGGAATCCAGACTACTCAGCCATGCACAAGCTCCTGGGCAGATGGATATCACGAATCCGCTCGGTCGCTGGCGGACCGGTGGTTATGGGCCTGTCGGCCAGGACGATGAGCCCTCGTACACCTCCTACGACGCTTACCGTCCACAACGGTAAGCTGTGATTTGTTCATATCAGCCTTGCTGGGCCAAGCATCTGCATTTGTATAGCCTTTTTTGTTTTTTTGTATTCTAGCCTGACGAACAACATTTTTCGGGGGGACTTAGAGCGTCATTTCTAAACACGAAGTTCACGATTAAATCTTCTTGTCTGCTTAAGGCATATCTTGGAAATCGCCATGTACACATAAAATAAGCAATTTCAATATCAAAGTATCAAACTTTTCCAATCCCCATGGCTCTCAATTACTAGTCCTCATTGCACACAGCTATTGGACAGAAAATGGGCCTTTAGAATGAATTTTCGAAATATGAAGTGTTCTCAACTCACGTTAGATTTAATAAAATGCGCAACGGCAGCGAGTTCTCGCTTCCCACTTGGAACAACATGTCCACCAGAATGCCAAATAACAATCTGTTTCTTTTCATCCCCCAACACCCGACAACTCTCCACCAACCTCATCGACGCACCCTCCTCCACAACGGTATCCATACTCCCCAAAAAATGCATCACAGGCGTCCGAATACCAGGCTCATAGAAAGCACGATAATCCAAATGAGAAGCGACGTACCCGGAAATACTAACCACGAACCTGAGCGGCGGGTGCTCGAGTTCCTTAAAGCAAGCAGGATAAGGAATCCCAGTCTCCGCCTCCAATGTAGCGAATGCGTCTTTTCGATTTCCTTCTAACAGCGACGCGACTATAGCCGCCGCCGCGGCCCCCTGACTAAACCCAACGATCCCATCGAACGGCCCGGAATTCTTGAGAAGAGATGCAATGGATTCCAGGCCCCCTTCTAGTCCTGGGTAGAGTCCATCGATGGTTTCGGATCCGAACCAGCTCCATGCGCCGTGTCGAGTGCGTAGGTCGGTTGTGGTTGTGGAGCCTGCAGAGGGCTCTAATGCGAATGGAGCTGTCGGGTATATGAGTTCAAGGTTGGGGTGGGGAGGGTCGAGGGTCTGGTGGAGTAGTTTTTCTAGGGCTTGGAGTTTTGCTCGGAATAGTTCGCCGGATTGGCGGGATCCTATGGTTGTTAGATTTACTTCGTAGTCTCTTGCGGGATTCGGGCGTTGGATTACCGTGGATCATCAAGATTTTCATGGTTGGATTGGATATCTAAGTGAAGAGAGGCTAGGCTGGGGTATATATTGTGGGGGAAAAAAAACACAGGCTATTTTACCACTAGACCATAACAAACCTCGGTTTCTGTTTAGGGCTTAGGGGGGCTAATAGGCTATATTCCTAGTTCGACATATATATGGCAGACTATAGTTTTTTTAAGACTAATGTATACGCATCACGCAACCTGGGATGTAACTGCCGAAGAGATCCATAGGCTATAATGACTAATGATGCGCGCTATGATTCTGAAGCGCAAAAAAAGGAAAGTGATTGAAAAGACAGGCAGAGTCGAACGGTAGATCCTGATCCCTGATATGGGGGCCGGAAACCCCGGTCTCCACGAATAAATCAAGGAATTAAATCGAACTCTCAAAATGAGATGTGGCTGCAGCGAATCTATAAGAAATCGTGATCCGAACCAGGAAAACGGGCAGAAGGGATATGAGGTTTAAGACGGTAAGGGAGACTTTTTCACCCACATCACCCGCAGGGCTCTCTGTCAGATTCTTATTTTTGCTCACAGATAGTCTTTGGTCAATATCAATGTAGCGGCCCATAATTTATGCGGTGTGACCGAACTCCGCCCTGTGGTCTTGGATCCCTCATACCGAGTCTGCCACGCTGCGGAAAGGACTGACTGCACAATACCAGATTGTTACACTTCAGGGCTATTTCCCCCGGGTTCCCAGGGTCCTGTAAGGTATTCGAACTACGAGTATGTATTTTTCTATACTAATCTTCCTCCCAGATTTCTTATTATTTAAGCCGTCCCCCATCTCTCCTTTTAAATACATTCGTGCTCCAAACCTCTCTCTCTATACATCAAGTTTCGTCTCTCTGACTTAATTTGTTCGCTTTTGTCAATCTCAATCTCGTTCGTCATGGCGCGTGCTTTTCCCGATGAACACTCTGATGCCTTCCCTTTTGAGGGGGAGGCTCTTCCTCATACTTCTACCTTTGTTCAAAACACCTCCCGAAGCACACTTCCCTACCTCGAACAGAATCCCCCATTTTCAAGTTCCGTCTATGATTCTTATATACAATCTCCATGGACCATGGATGGCTTCGGCCTAAGCATTCCTGCTACAATCCCTCAAATTGGGATGGACCCTATCACAGGATGGGTCAGAGACAACGCTTCGCCAGCTGGGGAAGAAAACACGATGAACAGTTCTTGCAATGAATTCGAACACTTTGATACAAATGGCCATCAACAGGGGCAATTATCAACCCCAGTAGGAGTTCCTTCAAAAGGTGCAACCTGTGAGGTCAGTCCAAGTGGTGACCGTACGTCGCGTAGGCGTCGCTCTAAACCCAACGCCAAGTAAGTTTCCTCAGTACAGGTCTCTATCCTTTTCATATTTCTCTAAATTAACAAAATTTCCCAAGGAGAAGCCTCACCAGTCCTATCAAATGTGATTGGAAAGATTGCACAAACCCATGCCTGTTCACCCGTGATACATCGTTGTGGCGGCACATCAAAGAGAAGCACATATTCCCTGATGCATTCAAATGTTCTTCTCTGTTGTGCAATATGTCATTTGGCCGAAGGGACAAATTGAATGAGCATTTGCGATCTGCTCATGCCGATGGGGAAGGTCAGGAAGGAAGATACTGCCGTTCGTGCAATGCGGTATGAATGATGATATAGGTTCAAACATACTGTGGTTATGTGTATCCCGAGGTCGTTTCGTTAGATAAAATAATGCGAAGAGTCTAGTTCATATGACTCCCTATTATTATCTCCATAATCATAGATTATAGTCTGCTTCTCCAAAGGCATGCTCAGAACTAAATGTTATGAGGACATGTTACAGAGAAAATGGTTGACGAATAGTGGGATACCAAGTCGAGTATGATGCTTAGACAGACCTACCTACTCGACTTTGCTCCAGTAACTGACCAATCCAAATTGATTGATAATATTCTCTAGGGAAACCAAAAGAGTGGAAGGTGTTAAAGCATTGTAGTTCATAAGATGGACAGACACCCGAACTGTCAGGCTGCAATTATTCACGTGAGTATTCAGGGTCCAGCCAATCAGATCGAAGTACCTTAGTATCGTGGAATGCAAAACGAGCCAGTGCAATTTGATTCTCTGCATTTCATTTACCAACTGAGAATCGAAAGCATTTGAGTGACCGCAAAAAAAAAATGAACCAACCGTGAAAAGGGAGCTGTCAGCAAGGGTGGACCGAGTCGCCGAGTGGCAGCCTTGCCAGAGCACTGACACAGCTCCAACCCACCAGGAACCGTAACCTTCCGAGTGCTCACCAGCACTTCAAATCCACACCAAAATGGCGTGGTACTCCATCTTACCATCGGAGCTTACCCACCTCGAGAGCTGGGCAGCTCGCATCTTCGTGAGTTTCCCCCTTTCCTCTCCCGCCTTTAGGCCTTAGCCCCCCCTTCCCTATGACGCAGTTGCTGATCTACCCCGGATTCCGCAGTTCTTCCTCGGTCTCATCACAATTGGCCCCTGGGCTTTCCTCATATTCCTCGACGCCATCATCTGGATATATCGACTGATCCTTTGGGAAGTCCCCTGGGTTGGTGGACGAGCACGTGGTCGACAGCGCCCTCGCGCGCCGAGCTTGAATGAACGTCCCGGCGGGCAATGGAGGGCATTTGGACTACGCGGCGTGGAGACGGGTACCGGTGACAGCGAGGGGATAGATCGTGAAGATTCTCTAAGGTCGAAAAGGGAGAGAGATCTTGATGACCCTGGGAAGGAGAACGTGAGCCCTGTTGTCCAAATATTGAATCCGTATTTGAGTGGAGATGGAGTCTTGAAACAAAGGAGTTCGGAGCAGATATGATGCTCAGGTCCCTTTCCTCGTGAGATTTGATGATTTTTACGACCTTGTGTTATTATTATGTCTCTTGCCTGTGTGTTTAGGTCGTTTTGACTATTGAGCAAACATACATTTCTCTTATTGCCGAGTCTTCGAATCGTGCAACACAGTGGGTCTATACTACATCGAAGACTATCCGATACTAGCAGAGTATAACCTATTACACAAAGTCGGTATTAGGCAGTGATTTACCTATCTAATAATTCCCCAACTATTTTATCTCCAAGTGGCAACCCCGCAGGACCATCTCGGCTATGTGAGTCAATCAGGAAGCATGGACGGACAGTCCAGCCAGTCAAAGTGGGGAGAGATAAGCCCAAATACAAAGTTTCCAACGCAAGTTCGCTTTCTCGTGCGGAGACCACGCGGAGTAAGTATGTTGTTCTGAGCAGAAAACTCTCTGTTGAGCAAGGATTGTAAAAACTTCAACAGCCAGATCTATCCCACAGCGATTTGAACATGGCAGAAGCTCTATACAAACTGAACATTGATGCACCATGGCCCATCAGCTCCAGAAATATGCTCTACATTCTTATCGTGTTGTGTGCTGCGATGTGGAGGGTTCGACAATATCGCAAGGCTAATGCATACGGGAAGACGAAAACAACTTGTTCGGATAGTAAGACAACGCCAATAATACCTTTAGAGAGATTCAATTGGGAGGAGACGGAGCAGTTACAATTTCGGTCATTCAAAGGAAAAGACAAATATAACTTGACCATGGGTGAGTACCCTCCTCGTCCGGTCTTATCCAAACGTGCTATATTACAACACTCAACATACATCCAGACTAATACATCTTAGCACTTGAGAACCTCGATCCGTCAGAGCTCCTCCCGATGGACAAAACCTACAAGGACCGACTCGCTCTCCGCAAGTCCGTACTGGAGCAGCACCACGATGTCGTGGTAGCAATCAACAACGATCAAACCCCAGAGGAAGACCCTCGCATCCGCCCCGCCATTAGCGAGCTATACAATTTCGTGCTGGGAATATACCTACCAACCCGATACCCGAGCATGTTCAAACTAAATGCCGAAAGCTCGATCTTTCAAAACCTGGTAACAGGCACAACATGGCCAACAAGCCTGTCACCAACGACGCCAGCAATCCAAGCTCTAGAAATCCTGTCCCAGACAGTAGACGATGATTTCCTGATCCTGCTCCCTGAGCTCTCGCCTGATGCCGAGGAACAACCGAAATATGTACTACAGGCATATGCGGTCTGTTTCCCAGGTGGCTTCAACACGCGCGAGAAACTCGGTCTGCGGTTAGTAGATATCCATGTGCCAGTCCCGCGTTATCGGGAGAAGATGGAGCGCAGCATGGATAGGTTCTTTGGACGCCTTCAAGTTGGGAAATTTGTGAAACGAATCAATTGGAGTATTACTGTTGAAACGGGTCTGTTTGCTGCTTTCAGTGGAACACATGCTGTGGCGGGGGAAAAGGGGGAGGCTATTGAGTCCGGGGAATTGAATGTTGATCAGGTATGTTGTATGCGAGGAAGTTGATTTGATGGAATAGCGCTGATACTATTAAAGACTGTTCTTCGATGTGAGCGTCAGACACTGCATCGGCTGCCAGTGTCCAAGGCTCTTGTCTTTACCATACACACTTACACTTATCCGGTTAGGCAGATTAAGGATGAGGGTTGTGGTGAGGACTTGGCGAATGCGATCGATGGCTTGAAAAGGGGGAATGTGCCAGAAATGCATGCTTATAAGAAGGGAGATGTGTGGGGGGAAGCATTGAAGGAATTCCTAAGGTCCTAGACCACTGCATCTATTTTGGGATTCTGTGTAAAATCCATGATTTATATGGACAGTATCGTTAATAGGAGGGGTGGATATGATTCATACAAAACTCGGAGCCAAGGGAAGTGATTTCTTTATACTTTATATGCATTGTCAAATTTTGGGGTTCATCTTTTTATGTCTCCAAGACTCAACATTTAGCGCAGGCGCTCGACAGCCTTGATAAGATCGGCCGAAACACCCATGGCAGTAACATCACCACCGGCACCGGCACCCTGGACAATCAGGGGGTTGGCACCATAGCGCTTGGTGTAGAAACTGATGATGTTATCACTGCCCTTCAGACCAGCGATGGCGCTGTCCTTGTCGAAGTACTGCAGGCCGACCTTGACAGCCTTGGCAGCGACATCAATGCTACCAACATAGCGCACAACCTTGCCCTGCTTCTCAGCAGTGTCCTTGATGTTGGCCATCTGAGCATCGAACTCAGGGAGGCGGGTCATGAACTGGGTAATGCCGTCCGAGGATGAAGGCAGAGATTCGAGCTCAGCGGGGATCAGCGACTCAATGGGGAAAGAGTCGGGGCGGGAAACCTCCAGCCCAGCAATACGGGCCAGGATGGTCAGCTTGCGTGCAACGTCCATGCCGTTCAGGTCATCGCGAGGATCCGGCTCGGTGTAGCCCAGTTCCTTAGCCTGGGCGACAACAGCGCTCCACTGAGCATCGGAAGAGCCTGAGGCAGGGGCGAAGGTGTTGAAGAGGAAGGACAGAGTGCCAGAGAAGACACCCTCAATGCGGGTGACCTCGTCACCGGTAGCCACAAGGTCCTTCAGGGTGGACAACACGGGCAGGCCGGCACCGACGGTGCTCTCGTGGTACACGAGGGCCTTACCCTCAGCTGCAGAGGCAAAGATATCCTTCCACAGGGAGAGGTCATCGGAGAATCCCTTCTTGTTGGGGGTCACCACCGAGATACCCTTCTTGAGGAATGTGGGGTATTGCCGGGCAAGGCTGATGTCGGAGGTGTTATCGACCAAAATAGCTCGGCCAGGAGCTGCGGCAAGGTATGTGGCAATCTCTTCAGCCTGGAGGGCACCACTCTTGGTCAGAGAAGGTGCAGCAGAAGCTGTGGCCCAGTCAGCGGCGGGGATGGCGGGCGAATAGGCGGGAGTAGGAGCAAGTAGGGTCTGGGAGGAACGGGCAAGGACGACAAGCTGAGGCGCATTGGGGAAACGAGCAAGCTGTTGGAGGAAGGCAGTGCCAACGCCTCCAACACCTAATCCATCATATCGTTAGTACTCAATTGATTCGGACTTTTCCAAGCACTGTAGTGGGGGTCACTTACCAATGACACCAAGGTAGATAGGGCTAGCGGACATGATGCTGATTTTATAAATTTTTCTTTTGATTATTTTGATCAATCTAACCTCCCGATTCTCAACTAAGAGTTCAATATCAGATCAAATTAAAGGATTGATCAATTGAGTCACGACGCGATCGATTTACCTGAGTAGTGGGGGTGCGGGGCTGCCCCGAACATCGGCCTTAGTCATCAACGACTGGCAGAAACTGAGAAAGGATTTGGCGGTGTAGATTGGGCCCATTGGGCTTATCGATAAGCGGATAGCATTGAAGGACGTTGAACTTTCGTGAAACTGGCAACTTCCTTCTTGACATTACACAATACGTACCCGTTCACACCATCATGCCTGCTGATCAGGACTCCCTTTACGGGCAACCCCGATCGAGAAAAAAACAAAACTGAGCAAACCTCCACCTCAAGCCTCGCCTTCGCCTCTCAGCTCTCTTCACTCATCGCCCAAGATGCGACCTCGTCTTCGTCGCGCGGGCGCCACCGTCCCTCCAAGCATCCAAAGTCAGATATATTCTCAAAGCACAACAAAGGCACTCAGAAGCGCGCAGCTGCCGATCTCGCGGATGACAACAGGGCGCTCAAGCAAGTCCACAGGAGCACCCAGGACATTGGATCCGTTGACGCCAACACGCTGAGTCGGTCTCGACGCCGCATGCAGGAAAAAGCACGCCTTTACGAGGATATGAAAAAGGGACTGCATCTTGCTGGTGACAGTGATGATGATGACATGCCAGTTGATCCATCCGACCCGGACGCCTACCTAGCCCGACTACGACGCAAGGAGAAAGATGTATTGGTTGATTTCGATATGAAGCATGCAAACGAGCAGTCGTTCAAGCAAGATGAATCCGATGATGACAATGCATCCATTGTTTCCTACGAAGACGATCTTGGCCGTTCTCGCCGTGGTACTCGCGCCGAAGCCGCCGAAGCCGCCCGCGCCAAAGAGGAAGCATCCGGTGGCAGAGCTGCCCAGGAACGCTGGCGTCCTGCTCGTCCTGAAAATTTGATTTACGGAGAGACCGTTCAGACAGAGGCCTTTAACCCCGATGCCAACATTGCGTCGCATATGTCCCACCTCGCTGCTCGTCATGACCGCTCGCCTACCCCGCCAGAAAAGAAGCATTACGATGCCGAAACAGAGGTTCGCAACCGTGGAACTGGATTCTATCATTTCTCCGCCGACGAGGAGGAGCGTAAGCAGCAGATGGAAGAACTCCGCGTTCTGCGCGAGGAGACTTTATTTAAGCGGAAAACGGACGAGGAACGGATGGCTGAGCGCAAGGCTCATGAAGAGTGGCGACTCAAAGAGATCAACAGACTTCAGGAGGAGAGGAGGGAGAGATGGCGCCTGGAGGACCTTGAAGCCGAACGCAACCCTAAGCCAAAAGTAACACCTCCACCTAAACCACCGCCCTCATTGTGGTTGTACCCTGAGTCAGACGTCCCGTATGACGTGACTAAATGCCCACTGTGGCGACGGTACATGGTCACGGTGTATCCTGACCCAGACGATATCGCTAAATCTACAAAGGACAAGGACACGGAGACTTCTTAGGCTTCTTGCTTCGTGTTACGCAGTGGCAGGTGATGCCCAACCATCCTTCCATCGCATTTGCCCGCGCTTTCATTGACAATGTGCTTTCTGCTTTCTGTTTTGCGTTTTCTTTTCGTATGTGTGAGTGATACCCCTCGTTAGTTAACTTGCGCTTTTACTTCAAACAATGGATTTGATTGAATATAGTCTACGTGTCTGTATAATTCGATGGACCCGAGGATTTCGGAATGTAGGGTGCCTTAGCTGCACAGTGTAGCCAATGGTAAGGGCTGCTATGACGGCGAAGAACTGAACTTGAAGCCTGCTGTACGCAAAAGAAAATCCAAAGGAGGACAAAACTATCAGAACTACCAGGAAGCAACCCACGGCTTCTGAAATCTTGAATCATCGCAGTCATATCAACATAACTCATAACTCATTATGCCAGAACAGAGATTCCAATTATAAACTGCAATTCCCCCTCCCTCACAGTCACATTCATAACTCACCCAATTCATCCATGACATCCAAGAACTCACTGGCGTCTAAACAAAGTCCAATCAGTCAACAACACTCGAAGTCGGGTTCCCTTCAGATCCAACTACTTACCAGAAGAGCTTGTGAACTCGAGGACATGTTGACCATGTAACGTCTGCGGGGGTGTATAATCATCCACAGACATAAATATCACAGGCTTGACATCGCGCAAAATCACCGTTTTCGAATCGTACGACCTAAGCCAACTGCGTTTCCCGAGGTTGTGGGTGACAAACGCAGTCCAGACGGGTGTACTGCGTTCATTGTTATTAGCCATTTAATGTTTAGTTCGTTCAATCGACAGTTGACATACTGGTTCAAATCGCCTAGGTGGATTGAGGCCTGGAGTCTAACGGCTCCAGTCACCGTGTCTTTGTATACACGCAGCGCGTGCACATAGTCATCGTCGGTGATTGTGCTAGCAGATATCAGATATCAGCCTCCCTCTGTGCACTTAATTTCCCTTCTTGGTATGGAGGATTACTTACCCTCCAAAGCATTGTTGTTCCTGTGCCAGCTCGTAGTCTAAAATTTCCCCGACAGGGTGGCCCGCATCCTGGGAGCGCAAGGCAAGGAATGTGCCATGGAATAGCACCAGATCTACAACATAAAAACTGTAAGCATGTCGCTTCGACAGCCAAATGCAGAGCTTTTAGATGCGCGCTACTGACCTTCCATTGTGGTGAACTTCAATTGCGTCCATAGAACAAGCTCTGTCCCGCGATTCCGCCGTCGGCATATTCGGAGACAAGAGCCGTCTCGCAAGACCTCAAGTAAATTAAGCGGCAAGCAGTAGTAGTCACTCGGCCCCGTCCGGTGGGGTTCCCTGCAAAGGATTCGGACGCGATAGTCTGTTCTTCTTAGGTAGAAGGATACGCGCATATCGGATTCGTCGTTCAGGGATCTATACTGTGTTAAAATATATGCTCCAACGGGGTAAATATTCTCGACTTGCAGTTGAAGGAGCTCCTCAAAGCCCTTGTCTTTGATTAATTGTTTAATACCCGGATAGGGTTCTCCGCGGCATTGTGACCTATTGCCAAATATATTAGCAAAATGCTGAAAAGCAAAACAACCTATCGATAACTCACTTTTCTCTGACAGATGGTAGAGGAGTGTTGGTGCTACTAGAGCCAAATGTATCCTTGGCCCAGTGCTCTTTGATAATATCGGGGTCACTCGAGTGGCTAGTAGCCGTCGTTGCAGATACAGACGTAAGCGGCGAGAGTGGGATATCCGGTACAGAAGGCGGGAAATCCGAAGAAGTGGTGGAGGAAGATGACATCGGCGGAGGAGACATATGCGGCGGTCGAGTACGCTCGTATGACCTCTGCCGTCGTGCATTCCGGTCACTCGCTAGGTGGTCTCTCACTGGGTGGTCTCTCGCCGGGTGGTCCCTCACCGGGTGATCTCTTACCGGGTGGTCCCTCACTGGGCGGTCCCTCACTGGGCGGTCCCTCACTGGGCGGTCCCTCAGCGGACGCTCTCTCACTGGCAGATCCCTCACTGGCCTATCCCTCACCGGCCGATCCTTCACTGGTCGATCCCTCACTGGCCGCTCCCTGACCGGGCTCGGGGGACTCGCACGGTTGCCGGTAGGCGAGTCATTTGGACGGAGCGCCATGCCTTCAAAGCGTGCAGCAAACCGACCATCTTGTATAGAGAGTAAAGTCTTAAATCCACTGACGAGGCCGACAAGAAGCGAGGAGGTATAGTGACCCCTAATAAAGACCGTAAATAAGTACATATACACATATGTGCCTTTTCTACTGGTATCTTTTTGGCGGAGCACCTACTCTCTTACCAAGTCATTGAACTCTTTAAAGATCGTCTTATACTTGGCTAGACGGGTGGCCAGGGTATAGTTTGATTGATCCCAAAAGAAGCGGCTCATAATTACCCAAGTGCGCTTGTATCTCGCGGAACTAGCATCGGGGCCATCGAGACCTCTGAAAATCTCGCCGATATCCTCGATGGTATATGTGAAACTGGCTTGCACGACATTCAAATCGGGTTTGATCAGTTCGAAATAACGGCGATTTCGGGGATCTTCAGCTAGACGTTCCAAGGTGGACAAGGATGAGCTGATTGCGTATAACTCGGACATGAGCGATGTGATTTCGCCCATATGTTCTGGGAGGGGATCTCGGAATGCATAAAAGCCAGTTGCCACGTCGTCGGCACTCTGACGAGATGCGCGCAGAGCCTGGGCCATCTTGTAGTCCACAGGGTTAGGCCATAAAGCGTTTGGGGGGAGGGTTTATATATGTTGTATTTTTTTTTTTTTTTTTTTTTTGGTGGGAGGGGGAAGGGATATGGTGGGGAGGGTTCTCGAAGAGGGGCTACGGAGAAAAAGAATTAGGAATTAAATAGGCCAATAAGCTTACATGTGAACAATTAAGATTATTTAACAAAGACAAGGGAAAATAACAAAAAGAAAAAAAAAGGCCATGCGGCTCTCTCAGGGTTCTCCCTTGCGTCCAAAGACCTGACGTGTTCACGCGCGAATGGCGGGGCTTTAGTGGAGTCTTGGTCTTTTCCATCATCTTCCATTCTCTCTCAATTATACCTAGGTAGACCGCTTGTTGAGGATATAGGAGATAGGAACATATAAGTATACTCTTATAAGCTATAAGATTGACTCAGATCCCATGGTTCACAGGATATTTCCCAGCCCTAAATGTGGAGAACCGTTCAGTCTTACCTGGTTATGCCCCTCACTTAGACCAATCATAGGAGTATAGCGCACAGCGTACAGGGAGTCTGGGGTTGCCTTCGGTTCAAGGTCTCTAGCAAAATATGCTCCTTTCTCGGACTTATATACTTCACAGCCCACGGTCTATATATATAGTCGCTAAGCAGCAGCACCAACACGACCGCTCTGATAGACACCCTTCTATCGTGCGGTGCCAAAATAAACCAACAAGATAGAAGCGGCGACACAATATTGCACCTTATGGCTAAATTCCTACTTCGCCGAGGCACTGATGTTAGTTTCACCAACGTAAAAGAGAATACAGCTTTACATGAATACATAGTGATGGGAATTATTTTGCCGAGGCAGACGAGAAATGGGGGCCTTGAGGCCCACGTTTCGTTGATTGGACAAGAGCGCTGGATGAGATGGTTTCTTTCCTGCTCGAGGCGACTGGGGGGGTGATGGTATGATGGACCAGCCTAGTCCAGCAGGCGAGACGCCGCCACAAGTGCAGTCTAGGAAACTGGTTATGTGGTAGAAGTGGGAGTTAGAGGCGGTTAATAGAAACAGCTAGCCTTGCTGAGTTCGATTTAATCAACAGTTTAGCACTAAAACGGAATGGGAAAGTTACCAATCGCGGCCTAGAATCCAATGGATTATATATATACCTACCTGGTAGTATATGCAAATGTGAATTTAGAACGGGCTACAACATATTAACACTAACATAACTCGCGTAAACGAGCTTATTAGGACTGTTTGAGGCTGTTTGGGGCCAAAACTGTCACTATGGAAACCGGCGTTATATAACCAAGTCGAGCATTGGCGATTAATTGCAAGCAGTTTCCTAATTGCACTAAGCTCATCGACCCTGTAGTTTTTCACATCTGATTTACTCATTACAGCCGTAAAACCACTAGTGCGTGATGGATAGCAAGTGTTAACAACAGAAAGACATCGAATAGGGTATTGAATCCAGCAAATCAACCGCATGGACCGTTCAACACCCTAAAAGTACAACATTCCACGCTCACGGGAACCTTGGGTGTTCGACGTAGGAGATTCCAGGCTTTGTTAGTTTCAGGCGCCGCACAAAATTATATCAGGAAAAGAATGCCTCGATCATAGTCATAGTAGTCATATTAACGCAACATGGCCATGAAACAAGCATCGCTGCTAGACATTCCTGTCTGGCTATACTAGCATTGCTTTCATGTGCACCGCTCATTGAATGGTGCGTATATGTTATCACACCTTCATGGCTGGAGTTGTCGTGGTAACGTGGTCTGATACGTATGTCCCAATAAACCACACATCGAGGCTATGCTGATGAAACAAGATTGGGTTCATCGGGATCAGTCCGAATGCACAATGCTCGCGCATAACTTGACAAGTCCAGCCAAATCCCGTTCAGGAGTAAATAGATACTTACCGAGATCACTATAAACATGGGCCGGACCATCGCGATTACGGAGTCTCCGTTGATGACTTCATCGAAAGCCACCAACGTATTAAAGAGTCCCAGATCTAGCATATGCTGATGATTGGGACGTGTGAATACATTGGCGAGAGGTCGGTATACGGGACGCAGCAGGATTGAAGACAAATGCCCGACTCTTGCTTATAGAATCATCGACACGCATAAAAATCCATGGAAAGGGTTTGATGTACGGTGCCTAGCAAACCTCTCGCTGAAGCTTGTCGATTCACCGGTCTATCCCGGCTTCAAGACTCCCATATAATTGACTCATTGTCTTGCGCCGGTAGTGCTAAAGCACACCCTCCCCCCCGGCGCCCCATGAGCCCTGTGTTATCATCGTATTGTATTGTCGCCCTGCTGTCTGCCGGTCTCGTCGTGGGTCCCAAGTGTAACCGTCTGGTATAATGATCACACTTAGGAGTGACTTTGCGCCTGTAACGTATCCTCATACCCCGCGTGTCATCGCACTGTATTATGTCGTAATCGCATCGTCGTAACCCGCACCCATGTTGCATAAGCATGTATTCACTCGCTCTAGCCCTAAGGACATATGGCTGATCCCGGCCATTCCCAAAAGACCTCACCAGGGTCTGGGTGAGGCCCAGGGGTTTAGGATCGGAGTTTCACGAACCCTCAGCCCAAGATAGCTGTAGGCTCTTCATACATTGTAGTCTTGGACAATGCCTTTGTGACCAACCACGATGGCTCTTCTGCTGACTTTTGTTTGACTTCCACTTTGATCTGGGGTTGGGAATTTCCGATAAAACTCCATAGTTAGCGGACGAAGCAACGTTGCTTGGAAGATTCCCACAGCATTCGAAACAAACTCAAGGTTAAGCTTCGAGCTTCGACCCCGGATTATTGGGGCGGTGAATGACGCAGGCGGTGAAGCCCGTGGGATTTTGAGGGGCAAAAAAGCTCAGGAGCTCTGGAGAGCTCCCGAAGCTTCCCCGAAGCTCGGCAGCCAAGAATCAGAGCCGTCAATCCGAACAGCGCGGAGAAAACCCCTTGCACAACAGACTGAAGCTTACTTTTGAATCATCCCCACAAATGAGTTTGTTAAGGCTTGCTTGCCTGCTTACTTTTTCTTACACAATCGTTCTAGAGCTACTTTGGAAGTGTACTTTGGCACCAATTTAAAAGGTTGAGATTTCCCATTGATAACTTAATATCCTCGATAAGAGCAAAGAGGCACAGTTCAGAAGCAAGTAAACCCCAGCCGTCCTCCAAACCCAGAAACCGTGCACGAAACCATCCGAAAAAAAAATCAGGAGAACCATTAGAGAAACACAAACGCCCAGAGGCAAAAGACGAAGTGAAGCTAGAGGGCATTTAAGAGGATTCCTCCTCTTCCTCCTCCTCAGCCTTGGCGAGGTAGGCGGCCTTCTCCTCTTCGTAGCGCTTCTTGTCAGCGGCGGCCTTAGCATCGTAGGGCTTGCGGTCGGTCTCGCTCAGAGCCTTCCACTTGTCACCGAGCTGCTTGCCAACCTGGCCTGTAGGGATGTTAGGTATGTACAAGTAAGCTGGAGAAGAAGATTCACTGACCGAAGCTGATGCCGGGGTTCTCCTCGCGAACCTTGTCGCGGTTGTCATTGGCGAAGAACATGTAGGCGGACAGACCACGCTTGGGCGCGTTGGGGTCTAGTAAGTGAGTTAGTATTAGCCGGTGACTGATGGTTGAGTCTTTGACTTACCCTTCTTGCGGCGCTGGACGCGCTTCTCGGGGGCCTTGCGAGTAGACTTGGTGGTGCTTTCCTTAGGCATGATGACTGATGAAAGTTAGATATGATTTCTGAAGACTTTTGCTGCAATAGATGTATTGCCGGAGAAATGAAAGGTGCAATTGTGTCAAGCGAAGGTTTGTACAAGCAATTGATATGGTATTTAAAAGGAAATCAGAGTGGAGGTTAGAGGGGAGAAGAATGGACGCGAGTGTTTGCTCGACGCGTTGCGCGTATGTCAACCACTTGCGACCGAGGGAAAACAGAGCTTCGAGATGATAGGAATAAGACCAACTCACATGAATTCGATGATCCCGAATTAGAATATGTTGAAAAAAAAGACCTGTGGGTTTTTATGTTAGTTAGGTGGACAAAACCATAGATCAAGGTGTAGCGCGCGACCGCAAGGTCGGCGCAAATTGGAAAAAAAAAGACAGGCAATGAGGTGAAAATAAAGGATTCCAAGGACCAAAAGAACTGGGAAAAAAAGGGGGTTGTGGTGGTGGTGGAGGAAATGCGCCTCAGAAGTATTGATTTATAGAACTCGGGGTTGATATGCAGTACCTTTTTTTTTTTGTAAGGGGAGTTTTGTATGGGGGAGTTGTAGTAGTGTAGGAAAGATAGTAAGAGAAGAGAAGAGTAGAGGGGGGAGGGCCGTAGTAGTAGCAAAGAGAGGGGGGCCACAGCAAGGGAAAGGCAAGCACAGTTTCGCTGGTTTCGCTGACTGGCTGAGAGAAAGGTATGGTTCAATACTTGTAATTTACATTGGCCACCATACTATTTACAACAGATTGCTCGAAATTTACGTTTTATTTCCCTATTTTACCTTCAAAAATTCGATTGATATCGTTTGCAATGGATGAATCCATGCATATTCTTTTTTTTTAATTATTTTTTTTTTTATACGCGAGTCTTTGTGGGCAGTTGAATGAATTAGAGAATTCAATACACGTTATGAAACGAGACCATCATTCCGGCACCTTCTTGTGGATTGCGCTCCGTCATATTAATAAACCGCGCAAACGTATGTACAGGTATACGGTACACGGTAACATCATAGTAAAAGTGTCTGCTCGGCAAGTACCTCGTACCTGTTATTACCATAGGTGTTTGCCTTCTAACTAATTCATATAGCTTCATAATATTGCTAAATTTATTCTATTGAATAATACTACAGACATCGATACTCTTTCAGCTCTATCTTTGTTGTAAGTACCAAGTAGGCTACAATGTATGTCATAAAAATCCCGGGAAAATAGCTCTTAAGAGACATGCGGAAGAAGGTAGAAATAACAATCAAGCATGCATTTCATAACATATTCAGTTTGGGAAATCTTGTGTACTCCGGTACTGGCATTGGACATTGGATATTATGAACTTGCTCCCATATGGTATAGCGTAGAATGGCTTTGGCCGCGAGTCCCAAGGTTATGCATAGGTACATCTTAACTTATACGGGGATACCTTTCCAACCCTAGGAAAACAGGTCCCAGTTCACTATCATTGGCACCTTTATTCCCTCTACTCGATAAAACAAGGGCCCAGGAAAAGGTTTACTTAAGCTCTCGGTGTCAAAACTATTGATATTATCATTCAGTTAAGGATTTTGTGTAATGATGCAAACCCTAATTATCACAGACGCAAAGTGTGCTTGGGAGGTGTGTGTGTACATAATGGTGTTAGTATTGAACTATCATCTTCAGGCAAGGGCGGATGGTTGCTCAATCATAAGCGTGGCGTACCCTTTTAGCGTAACCCCAATTGACAACACGGCAGGTACCTAGGGACCTAGGGAACATTGAAGTACATATTGACATTGATTACCTCGTTGATAAGAGCCATACGTATTCTAGAGTGAGAGGGGTGAAGATGGTATAGTTAGAGACCCCGCTGTTATCTTAGCTGGTTATCCATGTCCAGACTGATAGGTTACAAAGTAAAACGGTATGGACATGGAACGTCTTAGAATAGATGGTCAAGCTGAGACTCCTTTCTTACAGAGCCGGATCACACCATCATCACAAGCTAAATTCAGAATGGATATCTTATCCAATATAAGTAGGTTTTAGCATGGATATTCTATCTAGCATGATCCTACCGCTCAAGTCGCCGGAATAGCTCATTGATCTTCCGAATATTACAGAGTACGCCTTCTCTACAGGCTAACATCTTGTTAGAGTTGCCAGATTGTGAAATTGAAAGCAAAAGTCCGTACTCCGTACACAATAGAGATTGCCAAATCCATAAAAACGCATAGACCACCTGTGGACATTCTGGTGTTCCCTCAGCAAATATGTCCCTTTTTTACTCCGTACATATAGTTACGGAGTACCGTTGATACTGCAGTATTGGAGTACTGAGTGTATGGCCTAATCCACCTGTAATGTACTACAGTTCCACGCCTTCCGACAGGAAAGCGTCATAGAGTCGCGTCTGTACGGAGTATTGTGGGCTCTAAATCATTTTATATCTCATCTCTAACTAATCATACAGGGAGCTAGTTATGCATTTATCCGAGCATAGGCCCTTACTTCAAAGACGCGAAGTGTTGTACACCGCTGTGTAAAGCTGTCATTATTGCAGTACTGATGAACTGAACCTGTTGCCCTGGTAATAATTATTATCCCACATTATTCGGCTCAAAATTACCATTTTCTCTTTCCCCCTTAGGAATAGAAATCGAATGTTCCGGAGACTTTGGTATTTATTGTACAGCGCCTATGCTCCTAAGTACGGGCTGGAATTAGAGAATCGTAAAGAAAAAAAAAAAAAAGAGAAAAAGAAAAGACGGGCATCGGAACGCGTCGCAAAGAAAAACATCAGTCATCACTTTCATCTAGCACCAACGCGCGCAGCATGTCGTCATCGGCCCAATTTAGTCCACTGGCAACAACCACAGCACTTGCGATGGACTTCATTGTCTCCCATTGAGCTTTGTGCGTTTGAAAGTCCGTTTCAAAACTGTCCAGTTGCGACAGCAGCTCGGGGTCTTCAAGCTTCTCTCTCCAGGATGAATCTTCTTTCGTGAGCTCTAGTAGCTGGCGCACCAGTTCCTGGTTTTCGCGATTGATCTGTAGATTCTTTACTTCTAGGTTTGAGAGCTGCCTCATCACCAAGTCATGTGCCGACGCAAGATTCTCATGTGCAAGCGCAAGCACATCGCGACGATTCACCAGACAGAGAAGAGCTCTGTGTATACCTCGATTAGACTTCGATCTAACTTAAAAAAGGGCTTTTCATAGATACGTACCTCTCAGCAGGGGTGGCAGCTTTCAGGTGAACAGCTTTGAGAATAGGCTCGGTCATGAGGATGGTGCGAACAGCTTTCCTTCTGACCGTGTAAGTAGATCGTGCCTCGAGGAGCTCGCGTTCCGCTATCGCGAGCTGTTCTTCGGAATCTGCGCCCGAAAATGATTCCAGTTCTAATAGGATGAAAATGATTAGAAATAAAGACAGACGAAAAAGCAAAAGAAAATAACAAAAAATAACAAAAAAATAAAAATAAGCATAGCGAAGCTTTTATCAGATGTACCTTGTTCGAGAAATGCCTTTTCTAGCTGTTGTTCCTGGACTTGGTTGTAGAGCTGCAGTACCAAGGCCTCTTTATCCGATAAAGTCACGACATCGTGAGAGTCATCTGCAGAATAATCTAATAGTGTCACCTCACCAGATTGCAGGTGAGGCAGCGACTGGCCATGTTTTGCAGCCATGGATGTAGATCCCATGAACGCGGAGGTATCTGGTGATAAGAAGATGAGACCGGAGGCGGTGGGTGAGCTTCCCCGGCCACACGAGGTCGCTCCGCAACCTTCAACGTTCTGACCAGCCTGATCGGGGGCTTCAGGACTCTCATACTTTTCTTTCTTCCCTTCCGTATATCTTCTTCTTTAGGAAATAGTTCTCACTTTTCTCTCTTACTGAGCATCTAAGCTCGCCTAGTGCGGAGGGGGGTCATGTCGTTGCACATCTACATTGCTCACACTGGGGAGCATTTCCTGGCTGATCCAGTGGCATTTGCCTCGTAAGTCTTCAATAACTCTATTTGATAGTGTCGACTCTCTGTTTATCGATGTTTGAATGGACTATCCGAATTCTAGCTGACGCCCGTCTATCGTCTATAGTCCCGATGCTTTGAAGTCATGGATTGTTCGCAATACATCCATTCCACCTCCACGGCAAATATTGATGACCGCCCGGGGAAAGAATGTCAAGATACAAACGCTTGCTACCGAGGTGCGAGACTATCAATATAAATTATAGCCTGGAAATGTGCTAACTCGTAGGCAACCATCGCAGAATGAGATCTTTGTATATGACCGACAATACGTCAGTGAACCAGGCGACGTCGAATTTCCGGAACTACCTCCTCCCCAACCATTCCGACCCGGTACTCCGCCAGCTATCCTCAAAGACGTGAATGACCTTCAGGCATGGCGG